TCTCGCGGGCGATTTTAAAATGTTATAAAAGGAGGAAAACCTCTCAGTTCGTTATAGTTACGTTAAGTATGTTGGTCACCTTCATTAAGGAATCTGGAATTCCTTTTCTGTGCAAGAAATTAATTGATGAAAACTCAACTACACATCAGAAACGAAATCCGGACTCGCAAATTCATGGATAATTACACCAGACAGTTAATTTTATTTAATTGAAATTTTAGCGAGGTATTTCTCAGAAGACACGTAACCAATGATAAGTCAGCTTGCAGCCCACGTGACAACTGGTCACGCCCCTTCGCCATTAGCTCCTGCCCTTCTGGACTCACACTTGGAACTTATTCTCTTTTCAGCGCCCAAAGAGCAAACATCTGATGAGAGCCGGAATACATCAAGCAGAATGCTTGATAATCTCGGCATAAGTGTAATTTGGAACTTGGAGTTCGTTGTAGTTACTTAGTTTGTTGTTGTTTAGAAAACTGCTCTTGTTGACTGTAGCGAATTCGCAGATTAGCTTTCTCTAGCTGTTTTGAGTTAAGTTCTTTTGAACGTGAGTAGTTAAAAGATTACTACTGTGAGATATTGTAATACTGCACGAATATTTTAGGAAATTTAAGCATATTTGTTGTGATAATAATACATTTTTGTTCAATTTTCATCGGACTTGTACATTCATTTCGTAACGAACCCGTACGCACGCAACGCTATGATGATACATAAGATTAATACTGACTGTTGAATAAGTTTACTTGGGGACTTTCCTATAGAAGCTACCGAAAGTATTCAGAACTTATCTTGGATAACAATTTTCAGTGGGAAGTATCATTATTTCCCATCTCGCAGAAAACAGCGAAAAGATATTTTCAGGATTATTTAAAATTTCTAAGAACACTTATGTCATCAAAGAGACATTCTTCTATAGGCAAGGAATACTACCGGTTATTTCCTATGCATCAAGGGTTTGGGACGGTTCCTTACTGAAAAAAGTAAACTGCAAGCTTCTAAAAGAAATTCATAGAATTCTTTTTAACAGTTGTTCATGACTACAGAGCTATTAGTTACGAGGCACATTTTACTGTCGCTAGTATTCCACCCATAGATACTGAAATTTTCAGCAGTCTTGCGATGAAGGAAATCATTTGTAGGCAATTCTCATCAAAGTTTCTTTACAGCAGTCTTCCAGGTTCTTCCTTGCCGCATCTATTTAACAGGAATCCTACACCAGTTGTTGGCTATTCAGATGCTGTTCTTGAAGAGTACAAATTTTTATTTTTTTACAGATGGAAGCAAGATGAAATTATAAAGATGACCTTACTTTTGTTGTTTATGAAGATACAAAACATAGAGACTTTAACAGACAGTACTGAATTAACGATAAATGCTCTGTTTTTCAGGCTGAGTTGCTTCCTTAAATTTTGTTGTGAAAATAAATTCAAAATTCTTGTAATGTATTGAATTTCATGCGTATTTTAATACTTAGTGATCCTCTTTTCTAGCTACAATTATTACAGAAAATTAGTGTTTCAGAAAAACTTCTTGTTGAAATTCAAGTTATTATTACGACCTTGCAAGATCTTAATATCAACATTCATTTTGCTTAATTTTGTGGACACTGTAGAAATTCTAGAAATGTGAGGGCTAAATAATGCTTTGGCAAAGCTAGCCACGAAACTTCACATTCGTTTAAATCTCCGTGTTTCTCTTTCTGACAGGAAACGATTGTATAGAAATGATGTTATGCGTATTTGAAGCGGAGAATATCTGACCTCACAAAAAGCACAGTGGATCAAAATGTCTTTTCCTACAACTTTTTGCAGAATAAAACTCGATCAACTTTCAGCAGATTTTAAAGTAACTCAATTTATTTACTGGAAATGACAATTTTAATAGCTATTTAATTTAAAGCTACTATCTGGACTTGCTTCAAGTGCTTTGTGCAGTTGAGCTAACGCCAATGAAGATAGATGTAAAGCATATTTCTTGAGTGTTTCATATGTCCAGCATAGGAAGATATTTTAGGCAACTTCGAAGCACCTGTCCGTACTTTGGTCGCCAATGTTTTCTGAATATTTTTGGGCTAAAGAGACAATTTCTGCTTTCATTCTAAATTTAGATTATTGAGTTCTTTTATTTTTAAGCTCCAAAGGGGCGTTAGCCTAGAAGGGCTATTAATTTCGTTTTCTCATTTTGTGTTGGTTCACTATAAAAGTCCGAATCACTTTTAAAATTGTTGCCACCAATTAGAGCCCTGTGTTAAAGAAATTAAATAATGAAGAATCTGCATGAAGGTATGAAGGTACGTATGTTTCTCGCACATACATATATTCTCTATGTGGAAAAAAAAGCACTAGCTGAAGACATCAAATTTTGAATAATGTAGTCCTCGAATATGAGCCTCTGGAAGCTGAAATTTGGAATTTGTTTTACTATCTATATCGTGTTTTGTAAAACTTTAACGAATGTTTTATTAACAAACTCAACGATTTCAAAGCGTTCCGTTAACATTAACATCGCATACATCTTCAAGCATGGATGTTTTATGCGCGAGGTTTCTTTACATTTCTTACTGGTATCATGTTAGTAGCGTAGCAACACAAAGACATTACAATGCCTAATGGCATTTGGCGTCGAATGACTGAATGTCTGTATCACTTTTCACATCCCGTTTTCAATCCCTCGTAAAAAAACGTCCCTTTGGGACGAAATATAAGATGTGAAAGCTTTCAGACTTTTTTTCGCCATTTGTAATGCTATTAGCTTCGTGGTTATACTTTGTGGAACACGAGGAGTTCAAATTAAAGTTAATAAAAAAATTTAGAAAAAAAAAAAAAAAAAAAAAAAAAAACCACTAAAGCTTACGTAGAAGATTCACGTAGAAGTTTTTTTAGAATTTTTTACCTTAATTTTTTATTTTGCACGTGCTAGGAATTACTTTTGTACTTTACTCATATGATATTCATAACCTTTCAAATGTTTTACATTAACTTGCCGATTTCATTTGCACTAGTATCGCGTCAAATGAGTTTATTAGTAACTAATTATTGAATATTTACTTAGTTTATGTTTGTTACTCATTGCATCTTGTACCCTATCTTATTCCTTATTTTATTTATTTATTTATTTATTTTTGTGTTCGGCACTCGGATAACGTGTATATATATATATATTATATATATGTAAGATAAAAATGTATAAATCAGAATTATAATATAACTATAAAGATTAATTCTTCCTCTCTATTCTAAAATCGTAATAACTTATCTGCATTGCGTCATTCAAATTAATCATGCGATCTTACGTAACCGTTAATACCAGATGCCTCTTGACGACCAATCACCGAATTGTAAACCAAAAGTTTCCTCTTCGCGTGCTTTCATCTTTCATAACTACGCACTTCAGCTTTTGCTGTCTACTATGCTAAGATGTAATTTCGCTGGCTTGCTTTCTATCCCAACAATATCAAAAATGTAAATCTTCTGTGGAAAGGCACGACTAGAGTGCCAAGTGATTGTGGCCACAAATATCAATTGGAAATAAAAATGGAATTAAAACTGCCTTGACTGCCAAGTTCTTCTACGCAATCAAAATTCTTCAATATGGATCTAATCACGCATCGACACTGCTCCGTCTTTTTCCTTTGCTCTTATTATGACATTATATATATATATGTAGAATCGGTACTTACTGTCTAAGAATATGATGTCTGTAAACTTACTTCCTGTGTGGCTGTCTAGGGGTTTAAAATGACGAATCGGACTTATGATTAACTCGAATGTTTAATGGAAACACGAATAGCTGCTACAAACTACAAGGTGATTACATATGAATAGCGAAATAGACGAGACTATATACAAGTGAAGAGAATTAACCGTCTTTTATATATACACGTCTTCGGATATCGTCATCGTCGTCACTCTCTCACCAACGTCGTTCTCCGAATGATTGCACAGTTCACTCTGTCTTAGCACTCGGGAGTCCAAAGGTCCTTTCTCGTACGGCTTGGCTCTACAGCTACTCGATGACGTATTCCCATATATATATATATATATATATAATATGTGCGTGTAATATACAAAATACAAAATATGTAACTCAAAATTATAATTTAAATTAGCAATAGCCCTGTAATTCTTAATTTTAATACAAATTAAAATTACGAATTATATTCTAAGAAATACCCCTTTTTCTGTTCTAAAAACAAAAATCGTTTATATTAATTTTCCTGGGCTGCGTCTTTTCAAATTAATCTTCATCATGCGATTTTATATAAGCGTAGTATTGCACCTATATTTTCGCCAATCAGTTTAAGGAACCTTTTAAATATTTTCCTGAATGTTCGCTTAATAAAATAGAAAAGATGAAAAAGGGAGAAAATAAAAGGGAAGAAACAAGAGACAAAACAAGATAAAGAAATAAAAAAGAAAATGATAAAGACGAAATTAATCATTAGACACTACTGACAACGTACTGTCATTCTTTTACAATCAAGCGAGAGACTTTACAAAATTGTAATGACAAATATTGTAGTAGAAAATAGTGACTTGAAAGTTCGGTTGAGAGAAAGACATAACAAAACACTTAATTTTCTTTTTCCTAAGCTTTTGTACATGTGCACAGTGATCTGTTTGAATTGAAGAAACATCGGAGAATTGCAAAATTCTCTGTATTGTTGAGCAAACTGGCATTGTACTCCACATATACAGCGATCTGTTTTAACTTTAAAAAAAAAATTCATAGAGCTGCACAAATTAACTTCATGGAATCCGCATTCCTAAATCTTTTACTACTAGTTAAAATGCCATATTTCTGGGAAAAAAAAAAGCAGCACCATCTTTTTTCATTAAAAAGAGCATTTTAGGCAAACTAAACATTGACATTATGATTCAGTACAAAAGAAAAGCAACTTTACACATTAATGATAACTAGCAGAAAGAAACAACAAACATGACCCTCAAATTTCAAAAATGTATGCATTAACACCATCAAAATAGATGGTGGCATTTTCCTGTGCCTTAAACCATTAGTGGGTTGACGGATAAATACATTTTCATAAAATTCTGGGTTACCAACTTTGGCAACAAAGCACTTTGCATGGTAATTCTTCTCACAGTTGAATGCATAATGCAGTAGTACCTCTGGAAATTTCTGAAATCCAGAATTAATGAAGTTTCAATCTACTCTATTCTTTCAACTTAGTTCTATCAAGAACAGAATTTCGTACTATAAATGTAAAATTTTACCTCATGGATTCCAGCAACACATTCTACAAATAACACAATTACTATTTATTTGTTGACTTATTATGGTGAATCAAAAGTGAAGAAATGATTTTATATTTATTATCATAAATAGAATAAACTACAAGCAATATTAGCTACTCAAAATCAATTTTTTGTTTACCAACATATATCACTTAATGAATGTTCCTTAATTTACGTGATCTTAAATATTTGTTGCTATTAATCGGGAATGGGACATTTGAGTTCATGAATCACGAAAAACTTTGAGATTTGCAAAATTATAAAGCTTCATACTTTTTCTTCAGTCAAATCTTGAATCTTAACCCCCAAAATCATCAAAATATTTTAACTTAAAACTTTGGAAGATTAGTTTCATCTATTCACAGTAGTAGCATTTTCTTTAAAAAAAATGAAATATATTGATATATTGCTGGAACATATCGATATTCAAGCGGTATATCTGCATTCCATATATTACCTCACATCTTAAAAGTGTTCAGTGCTTATTAATTTTACAAGTCCTTAAAATTAATCTTTTTTTTATTTTATTATTATTTTTTCAATTTTGTCAAGAAATATTAGTATCCAATGTTTAAAGTTTATGTTAACTCTTGAAAAAATTGCTTTGTTTTTTAAAAGGCTGTTGGAAAATAAATTTGAAAAAATTAATGTAATAATTCTGTTGTGGAAATAAGCCTCTAGATTCAAGTTTTAATTATATAATTCAGTTTAATTATATACTCACTCAAAAGATGCAAACTCACTGCTCACTTTGGAGAACATTTGTTAATATGCTAGTGATTAACTTTTCGGCAAACTAATGCACGCACGCACACACACACACACACCCACACACAAACTATTTTCAAAATGGCAGCACACTACGAATTCCTCACAAGAGCAATCACACGATAAAATTTTAAAGGCAAGAAACATCATTAATAAAAAAAATTATATTTTCCAAGAAATCCGTTTTCCATTGTTGTTCTCAACACATACCAATGCGTTTTCACTTAAAATAATATCTGAGAATTGCACAAACTCAACCTATACAACTTCTGCATTGTGCAACAATCAAAACAAGTTGCTTCATAAATACATTTTGGCAGCAATGAGGGTTGTCAGATAACTAATTTTGAGGACATAGTGCTTTAACTTATAAATACTTCTCCATATAATTGAAAAGTATCTTTAATACATACAATATTTAATGTGTGCAATATCAACACTATAATTGCAAAAATTTGGCATTGGACACATTAAATATTACATATTATATGATACAATACTGTAATAAGAAATTTGCCAATTCTGGAAATTAATCTTCTGATTTCAGCAAATGACCGAGATGGTTGTTTTAAGTATCAAAGCTTTTAATATTGTATTAAGGATAAGTTTTCGCCTTTTTCTTTTAATTCTTCTTATTCTCATATAAAGGATTTAAAACCCTTCAAGATTCAAATTTGGGAAAACAAAAGATTTCTCCTTGTATTTTTAATGAGTAGTGAATAATCATTCTGATCTATGTATAATCCAAATCAGATTCATGACAAAAAGGGCAGAGGGTTGTGGCTGTCATTAATCCAGGCTTTTGGATAACTTTTAAATGACTAATGACAGCTTCCTTCAAATTTTGATAGAAAACACCAGAGGCGTGAACCTCTGGGTATTCTATAGCCAACCTATCAAGGGTTTTTTTGGCTCAATATTATTTAACATGTCCCCACACTGCAAAAGCACTGCATTTACAAACATCCGTGTGCTCTTCAGAACTCACATCGAGATAAAATTATATGGCATTTAGCATCGCTAACTTATCAGCACGGCACTCTTAATGTTAATCTTTATTTCTATTGAAGTTTATTCATACTTTTTATTTAGCACAAAATTTTATACAGTTATATATTTTATTTAGTTTTATATAACATACTTACCAAACTGTAATTAGGATGAATCACTTTTCGTAAGCATGGATTGTTTAGATACATACGAAGCATTGCTCTATCGGATATTTTACATCCTTCTAAATATAATTCTTGTAAATACTGAAACTGTATTGCTTGAATAATACTTGCATCAGTTATTCGAAAACATCCACTCAAATTCAGCTTTTCAAGGCCTTTGGTATTTGACAGTGGTTTACTCGTATATTTATCTTCGTAAGTTGTACAGATTAGCTGAATTTTTCCTATTAATCCGCCATGACTTATAAAACAACAGTCTTCTAGGTTTAAGTACTTAAGATGGATTAAAAGTTTAGATATTATTTTCAGAGTTGGATCTCCTATACAACAGCTACTTAAATCAAGATCGACAAGATACGGAGCTTTTTGCAGAAATTCCATTACGATATCTTCTAATATGTTGCCAGATCCTCGGAGAACTTTTAATTTATCTAATTTAGATTTCTGAATAGCTTTATAAAAAGGAGACATGTGGTACGAATGTATAGGGATTCTAGGTTTAAACTGACAACCTGAAATATCCAAATACTGGAGCTTTATTAATTGAAAGATATACTTTGCAGAAGTGTTAAGATGCGAATAACATTTTATACTAATTTCCTCAAGATCTGAAAGCGTTAAGCAAACTAATTTTAAATGCTCAGCCTTTAATGTATTTATAAAATCTAAATTAATAGATGTTAAGTAAGGCAGTTCTTTACAAAATTTTGGTAAATAGTCTATGCAATTCAATGCACATTCAAATGTCATAAACTGAAGCTTTAAATTTTCTATTTTGGAGAAGTGTACAAATTTTGATGCAGACAACTGATTAAGTTCTTCCATATCTAAAACTGTAATTGTTTCAGCTCGTTTTGATATAAATAACTTAAGTATTGGATAAGAAAGAAATGTTTTGAAAGATTTTTTTTTTAAACTTGCTTCCACCATGATAAAACACTGTGGGTAAAATAGGATTTATTTTTTGGCTAGCCAATGATAAAACTTTCAGCTTTGGCATAGCATTATCCAAATGCTGCATAATTTGATCTGTAAGATAAGCACCCGAGTCAACATATAGTTTTCTAAGGTTTGGAAATGAAAAAGAATAGAGGTCAAATATTTTACTTCCTATAATTATGAGACATTTTAAATTTGTACAGCTGCCTAACTTACCAGAAGATTGTAATGCTTTAATATCCAAAACACAATCAACAAATGACAAAGAATGAATCCGTGTAATAAACTTCTTAAGAAATTCTATATAATGGGCATCAATGTTTTGCTTGACAAATTTGAAGCATGAAAATTCACGAGTCGTGGAATTGAAAATTTGCGTTCTATCTTTACTATCATCTTCAAATACAACATATATATCCTCAAGCTGATGTTTTCTACTTGTTACGTGAAGCCATTGTTTACAAACAAGATTAGCTGTAAGTCTGTCATAAACATTGAGAAAAGAAAATATATGTTCAAGAACCTAAAAAAAAGAAAAAGAAAAAATGTCATTATTGGTTACATTTTAAACAAAAACCTGAAATTTAGGAAAAAAAAATAATTATGCTAAAATTTCAAAACCTATATAGTGCAAATTCCAAGATCATCAGGGACTTTGGCGATTCCCGATTTTTGAAAATTTCCAGATTTTAGATCATCAGTTTTAATCTAGTAAGGAAGCATATGGGTTTCATTTATTGTTTATGTCAGATATAAAAATGCTAAATCTCCATAACCACTCAAGGGCCAAAAATGTTATCCTGGCCAACATAAATACTAGAAGGTGTCTGAAAGTGAAATGCAAGAATATCTGTTAGTCCGGAAAAATATCCTATTTACACCGCACCAACTTACTTTTGTTGAGTATGATATTCTCCATTTTTAAACTTTTTGGGAGTTTTTTTTAATACCATTTTATATATATATATATATATATATATATATATATTTTCGTTCACCAGCAGCCTGGAGGTCCAGATAATTAGATCATTCTAAAGACAGGATGTACAGATGAGGCTTTCTACTACATATATTTTTGAGAGAGACAATATCTATAACTTTTTATGACCATAAGTTTATACCATAAGTAATAATTGATATTATTGCCAGCATATTCTGTAACATTAACTCAGTTGCTAGTAAAAAGTCAAGACGGATTATTTGCGGTAAAATCCTAGGAGAGCCCACACCATTGGCGACAAACTGGGAAAGTGCAGAGTCATAAATTATATTTAAATAAATAAAATTGAAAATATAGAAATAAGTCATATTTATACATCAAGACCAAGATACATCATATCAAACCTAGTTATAATTTATTAAAATAATGAAATACATAAAATTAATGAATTCTGAAAGAATATAATTCAACATAAAATTTATATGAAGTAGTGACAAAAAATTATGATATATGGTAACTACTTTTCAAACTCGAGGCACAATTACTATTATTCACCACATTCCAGTTAATACAATTCTTGAATTCTTAAACTCTAATTTTAAATACACAATACAATATCAATAAAGAAACATTTCTATAGAACTTTCTGAACAAAATATTATTCAATATATTTTTGCTCTCTTATAAGATGCTTCCTGCAATTTGAAATACCAAATATTTATTTTTCGAATAAATCTTGTTTTACTACCCCATCTTACTCTAGCAGTTTCAAACTAATTTCCTTGCCCACTACATACATAAATACTTTAAAATAAGAATGATATTGTAGAGTTCTTTTTATTATTTATTTTTATTTTCATAAATTACTAATTTAACGAAAACTGAAACATCAGAAAATTTAGAAAACAACATTTGTTTGAAAATTAAAATTACTGAAGCTTTTCTAGCATGTAGAAAACAGCCTAAATATCATTACAGTTCAACTGAAATAGATTTAAATACAACATTCAGATTTATTGAAATGTTATTGGTTTGGTGTGTTTCTTAAAGATCAATTTCTTATCTTAAAGAGCTAATCTAAAATCTTCTACCTAATCTTAAAGATCACTTTTTTTTATTCCTTCATTATTTCAGAGCTGCATACTTTGAATCATTTTTCTTAAACAGCAAATCAGATACTTAAAATAGTGTTTTCAATTATCTGCAGTATAATGAGATACGGTTTATTTGACTATGGCGAAGCATTCTAGGGCTATCTGCCTCAAGTATAATGAGAAAAATATTCTGCAGAATATAAGAAATACATAAATGATGATATATAAGTGCTGCTCAGAAGGAAATGCTATAGTAAAATATCAAGCTTAGGCTAAGCATACATGTACTAATATATATGTCAAATATATATGCATCTAAAAATTAATGCAGTAACTTCGGGTTTAGGGAATTTTAGAAACAAATTTTAAGAAACCATTAATTAGTTTTTAATAGGAGGTATTTTAGTTATATAAAAAGTGTGTTCCTAGTTTACGCTATTATCCCAGTTAAAGGTAAAATAAACAAACGGATCTCAAAATAATGTCAATAATTTTAGTTCACCTCATTAGGTAATGGATTCATCTTTTATAACAAATAACGCAAAACTAAAGTGTGCAAAAACATTGAAGGTATGTTTCTGAAATTTACAAGCGTCTAGGCCCTCAGATGCTAGTTTCCTTCCGATTCCTCCCTGATCATTTGCGCAGATTCACGAGCAGCGTGTTTACTCGAAGGAGCTCGGCCTCCGTGACCGAACCAAAAATGTTAAATTTGCTTTCGACAGCAAATAGGTCATTATTCCAGTACATTTCGGGTGTATTTATCAATGATTTTTGCGAATGAAAGCCTAAGCTTTCTGGTTTTTCTCACTAACAAAATTATTTTTACGGGCAGAACGCCCACGTAATCCAGTTTCTCTGAGAACTCGTCGAACAGTTTCAGGTGAAGTAGAAAACTTTGCATTAAATTCTGCAGAAACTTTTACAGAACTCAAACGTGGGCTTTTTACAAATTTTCTAAGAATAAAGCTCTCATCACGTTTAGCTAACTTTCTCGGTCGACTTTTTCTTACCTTATTTTCAATCCGATTTTCTTCTTTAAAGCGTTTTATCACATACTGCACTGTAGAATGGGGTAAATTAACTAATTTAGTGATATTGCAAATTTATTTACCACTACTGATGGTGAAAAAATTGATCAATTTTCGAATGCTGTAATTTCTTCTTTACGACTGCAACCCATTTTTCAATAATAGAATATTATGAAGTAAACAGTAAACAATTAAAGCAAACGATTTTTTAAATGAATGTAAAAACACCAGAATGTAAAAATTAAAAAAAGCGACAAAGGATTATTCTAATTTTGATTTTATCCAAAAATATTTCAGTGTACGATGACTTTTGCGAGATAAAATATTTATCATTTTTTGATTATTAATTTCTTAAGAATAAAGTTTCGCTATATTTTAAAAATATTTCATGTAAATTTGTTACGAATATATTATAGATCTTCTTATTAAAATCTCAATCAAAAAGTTTACTTTAAATTAATGGATAAAACCCTATTTCAATGAAAATCATAAGTGTACAAACCACTGTTTTGGGAGCAACTATATATTTTTTCACTAGATGTGTTAAGTTTCTTCAATGGAATTACGTGTAAAATTTTTGTGATCCAAAATAATTTTTAGTATTGTATTTTTGTCTTCATTCTGTGAAGTTACTGTAGAAGTTTTTGTCAGTTTCCTTTTCGTTTTGTATTTGAGAATCTTTTTCAGGTATTTATTTTTATTAGGTGGAATATCTTTATTCTTATTTATTATTATAATTTTTTTAGTTGGGGAAATGTATTTCTTGTGCATTTAACATATCAGCAGCTTCTAGTTGTAGTGGTGCTGATTTTAGAATCTTGTTTAACACATCACATTGTTTGTCAGATTTTAATGAATCTACTAATTCTAAACATGTTTTAGTTCATTCTTTCTGTGTTCCAGTGAGAGGGTCTGTGATTTTTTTTTTTTTTTTTTTTGGCTACTTAATTCAAAATTCATTTTCATCATCTATACTAAGTGGATAATTCATTATGTATTGTAGTTGTAGTATAAGTAGTAGTATTTCTAGTGTGCTGATGTAAGTAATGTATTTAATAAGTAGCAGTATTTCTAGTGTGCTTGCACATACTCCACCTAACTTATAAGGTATTTCTCCCGCCTTCTTGGTGTGGTGGTCTGCACACTGGGCGCATATTCCAGATCCGCGGTTCGATTCCCGGCGAAGGCATTGCTAATTTTTCAATCTCTCTTGCTTCCAATATAAAATTCTAATGTCTGTACAGTGTCGCCCGAACTAAAAGATGATTGTCCTCCACACCCAGGATTTGGCGATTAGGTCCCCTAAAAACCCCAGTCGTCCTTTAAAAGGGAGAGTATATAAAGTATTTCTCCCACCTTCTTGGCATGCCTTCATGGTGTGATGTGTATCCAGAGGTCTGCGATTTGATTCCTGGCGAAGGCGTTGAATATTTTTCATCTTACCTGCTTCCAAAAAATACCTAATATCTCTACTAACTGATGAATCAATACAGCTGCATATATATCATTGAATGCATATATTACACTCGGTGCACTGTATGTGACAAGTTTTGTTACTTTCATGTATAGTGTATATTTCTGTATTATGTGTTGATGAAACAGACCACCCATTCTCATTCTCTATTACTTATAAACATAGTGTTTCATTTGTTTTATGTTTGATTCTTAAATTCCAAATCTTACTTGTTAATTTAACCTTTATTTGCTGTAATTAAGCGATTAATCATTTTATCTCTTACAAATCTCATAATACCATGTATAGTGTTATCCAATCTCTTAACATTTTTTCCATGAAGATAATATATTTTTAATGTTCGGTGCATTCGTTCGATGTGCATGTTTTGTGTTAACACCACTGTGAAGTCTATAACAGTATGCCCAGCTAGATGTATTTTGTAAATAATATGTTTCAAAGTAATTTGCAAATTCAATAGTGTCAGGATCTTCTTTAAGTAATTTTATTGCTGCTTCTGTCAGTGTATGAAAAGTATGAATGTCTTGTTTCTTCTAAGAGAGATCTAATAATTTTATATGTTTTTGCCTGTTTTTCAACACCATTGATTTTTTTTAAAAATTGTTTTCTCCAGGCTCTATCAATATGCCATGCACAAAAAAGACGTTTCTGTAGTAAACCCATTTCAGACTTCCAAGCATTAAAAAAAGATTCAGCCATATCAGACATAAATATTTGTGGTTGTATTTGCCCAACATTTTCTTTAATACATGAAAAAAAAATGATAGCACTGGCTGATCACATCGATTAGAAATTAAAAATGCACACGGGAATCCTTGGCGCAAATCATCTATTGTAAGTAAAGTTATGAGTTCAAATCTGTATGCATTCACCCCATGTGTACCATCAATACATATACAAGTCAGAACTAAATTTTTTCAGTATCTCTCTTTGTGCTTCTGTCATCATTATCAAAACAAAATCATTTCCTTTTAGAAATGAATATTGTGTACAATATTCACTCATGCTATGTTGATCCCTGGGTTTTATAAAATGAAATGCATGGATGTTCAGAATTTTGCATTTCAGGTACCCACGTATCTACACAAACCTAATCATTTTCATGTTTAACAGAATTAGAAGACACATTAAAAGATTTTTTGATGTTATGTAAATCTTGTTCTGTAAGTAAATGAACCCTCTCAAGCCCAGCATCTCAGAGAATTTCCAATTTCATCTAAAATATTATCCAGAGAAATTTTTGCTGCTATCTTTGATGCAATATTTTTCATTCCGATGCCCAATATGTATTTTCCGATACGACACTACACCATTTGCCATCTGTATGTTCTGGTACTTTTAATGCAGCTGGGCAATATGCATTTATTTTATTGCTACCAAGGATTTTTAAGTCACACAAACCTTTACTTCTATAATAAAATTTCCTGAACAGTGGCATTACACCATGTATATTAAATATGCTTACTCCATAACAAATTTTGACTTCGTACTATTTTCCATTTCTGCCTTCCATGCCAAAAAATCATTAAATGAATTAAATTCTAGCTCAGTATGATTCAAATCAACATCATGAACATTATTGAAATGAAATATTTCTCGCTTTTCAAAATTACCTGTTAGAAGTATGAATTTTATTTTGATGATATTTCCAATTTTTTAGGTCACTAAATTTCAGATGGCAGTCCTCACATTTGTAGCTTGCAGATCGGTTAAAAATTTATGCCCATATTTGACCACAACTCATTTTTTCACAATTACACATTAATATTTAACATTTTTAAAGATTTCTCGATCGCTCTAAGGCATGCCATTAAGGCATTAAATTGAACGTTTAGTTCCTTTAAAAAGTGTTCGAAAGCTTACGCTCCAATACTGAAACTCACTAAATACATTACAAAACTTTCACCAGTTCAAATTTGGAAAATAGAATCCTCTGTGCTTTGGATATATTGAGCTTAAATACTTGTTTTCAATTCACATTTCGTTGCTGCAGTGCTAGCATGACAAGTAACGAGAGATTGCCTGTGTAAAGACTACAGTGCATAGTTTACCGCTTACGTTAACTCTTTTTTTATCAAATGAAGGGACACCATGTTATAAATATGCTTACTCCATAACAAATTTTGATTCGTACTATTTTCCATTTCTGCCTTCCATGCCAAAAAAATCATTAAATGAATTGAACGATTCGATAGCTGTTAATATCAGCTTATGATTCAAATCAACATCAAACAGCGTTAACAGGTTATATGCTTCAGTAAACAAAACACGGAGTGCATTTTGAAAACATTATTGACAAAGCTTTGGAAAAGATTACCATCCAAACAATGTCTTGAACGATCCCCAATAGGCGACGTTCGATCATTTGGTGCTTGTTATATAACGGTTAATATACCTTTAGAGTAAACTATAAATATATACGCATTCTATAAAATGTCCAGCATAAAAGAGTTAACGTAGACGATAAATTTAACTTGCTATAGGGAAAGTAAGTCCGAAATGAATTTTTCATTTATGCTTTCTCATACAAGGCAATAACTAGTTTGCAACTTAAACTGGACTGGCAAAGCAAAAGGACTACGTAAAGGAACCTGGCTAGTGTTTAAAAAGGATTACCAAAGAGGTGTGTGCAGCATGCCTAATTTCAAGTCTAGGATGGTTTTTTGGTTTGACTTAAATTCTATTTAGGATAAATAATTTAGCGAAATTAACAAAATTCAGATCAGAAAGCTACATTACTTCAAGAACAGAACAATTTCCTTTTGCTTACAAGATTAGGAGCAGTTTAACTTGCCCACTTACGCGAGTGGAGCAAATGCCGTTTTTCCGAGAATTGAACATCGTGAGGGTAATGAAAAGAGCACACGGTCGAAGTGCAGCAAATGTACAAACTTTTAAACTGTATATATTCTTGCCATATTTCATGCAAATTATTTTCACGTTCTACACACAAGTTGCACATACCAAAATCTACAACCAAATCTTTATCCATCTGAGAAATGCAAGTAGATCTGAAAAAAGGGATGCACCACCAAAGGAAAAAATCCAAGGGTCTTGTTATTGTTCAAGAATGGAAGCCGGGGGTTGATGAATGATGAATTTTCTATTTATATGTCTATACAAAATCAATTATGTCTATAATACTCTTATTTTAGATCTTCCTACACAGGTAAAGTTTTAGAGATTGGGGTTGTTGCCGTACTCTAACGTGCCTAGTGCAGATAGATTTTCTTGCATATAACCAACGAATTTTCGATACAAGCATAAGCTATCGCCAAACAATTTTAAAACAGCATACTGATAAAATCAAACGAAATAATAGAATGATGGACGCAGAGATGAACAAGTACATAAAACCCATATAATTATTTTAGATTTAAAATGAAAAATAAAAATTAGGTGCATTAAAATACACATTACTGAGATACTAAGAAACAACTTCAGATCAAAATTAAAGAACAAAAGTCATCCGTTTCAGGTGCTGAAATGGCACCGATTTCTTCGATTACATGGACAAGAAACATTCGCTAAAATGCTTCACTCGAAGTCTTAAATACGTAAACTTAAAAGCGACGCACCGACACAGCGCATGGATAGAAATATTCTCTGGATATTCTGACAGCAATAAATAATACACGGCGAGATGCAATAAATATAAAATTCAGATGGGTAGAAAATTTTCTACCAACCCACATTACTGCATGTCATGTATCTCGGATATGCCTCATTTCAAGTTACGCGAATTTCGTATTCACCCTGTATATCTACGAGACTGTAGCCAAGATATAAAGCGACAACTGCTGCCAAGGGTTACAGCTCTCTATTTCCAGGGCAATCTTTGGAACTAAATTAGCAGGTGAGAAATATTGCAGCAGTGTAACTGCATGAAAGAATCCTAACCGAACCACTAACGTTGGAAGATGAGAAAAATCGTGCTCGACTAAGATAGTGAATCTCTTTATGTATAGGGTGAAATTTAAACTGTATGAATTATAAAACCAAATATCAACATGAGAAAATTCTATTTAAAAAATCGATGTGAGTAAAAGTTAATATAGCAAACTCAAAATGTTAGGGCAAATGAATCGTATACATAGTCATTTCATAACAGAGTATCTTGGCTTAGGCAGTGAGTGGAAAAAATCAACTAAGGCACCTTGACAAGACCAGCTGAAAAGTTCATATTTGTACAAGATAAAAACATGTACTTCATTTCTCTTATGCAAAACTGGGATAATTATTGAAGCAACTAGTTTAGGTGTTTCAGATTTTAATGTATCAAAACGGTATTTCTTAAACCTTTATTCACAAGATTAAACGTCAAGAAATGTATCCATGTTTCCCAACAAATCAAGACTACTTGCAAAATATTTGTCGAATTTTAATAGTGCTTTACATACCAAAATCTGCACAAAAAATAAGATTAGCCATTTTGAATATAAGGAATTTTAATTTTAAATAACGCTTAACTTCTTTTTAAATAAATGCAGAGAGAAAAAACGAAAAAACGTCAGTTTCTTCCACTCGAAAAATTTAATCTTTCATTCATTCCCAGATCTTTTATTGTTATTTCGCACGCAAGGCATGTAAAACCTTTTGCAATGCTTCACGAAATCAGTTTACCGTAGAGGCAGTTATTAAATGCATGAAGTCATTCAGCACATGCTAGTGGAGCTATCCGAATAAGTGGCTCACTTAACAGCGTAAATGGAAATAATTGGGTAGCTAGGAAATAATTGGGTAACACCCCAATATTGATTTGGTTTGTTTTAATTATGTCAAAGCACTCCAAAGTTATCTGCCTAAGTTGGGATGCTTCGTGGATGACTTTAAAGAAAATTGGCTCATACTTCACTATATACGAAACCCTGAAACGAACTATCAATGTTCAGTAACTTTACCCCTCGGTCGCTTGTGGGCATTGCTAGTATTGAACTCTGGGCTACTGTAACAAAATCAGGAAAGAGTAGAGGCTACCGTAACAAAATCAGAAAAGGTTTTACGGGTAACGTTGGTAATTTAAAACTTTCGAAACCTGTCAAGGAGAATGAACTGTTGAGTTTTAATGACATGGATTTTAATTCTGCTATAAATTTAAAATACCACGGTAACATTCTGCAAACAGCTCTTTCGTCTTACTTATAACTTTCGCTATCTCAGCTGTTCATTTTAACTATTGCTAGAGCGATAAGATACTAATTCTAGATTCCTTATAGTCTACTTACAGTAATATAAAAACTGCAGTGTCAATATTCATCTCGTATTCAAAATTTTCTTCCTGAAAAGACCTGAAAAATAAAGGAAATGTTGACATACAGAAAATAGACTTAAAATTCATAAATTCCATGGTACAAAGTATTTCCTCTACTGATAACCGATCATAGAAACTACGTATGCGATTTATTCAGTCATATTATTTCAAAAATATTCAAGTACTTACAATTATAAAAGTCCTAATATATAAACTGATGCTAAGTAGTTTGATATTCGAAGGTTACCTTAGAAGAAAATGGTTCGGAAGACTGTCCATAAAAGAAACCCAAGAATTCTATTCATGATGCCCTTTCAATCGGCTAAAACTAAACTTGGAACCTATTCAGATTTTATTTAGGTTGGATATATTTAGTGATTTCTGGTCAGGTTTTATTGTACGCATAAAAATCGATGTATGCCAGAGAAATTTATAGCAAGGATAGTAAGATTTATGAACCACAGAATTCCAACGCATCGGGTGAATTCATAAATGAATTTTCAGCAGGCTGCGTTGGATTTTATCAACTCAACGATAAGGAATGATTTACCTACAAATGAATACAAAATAACAAAGCTTAGAATTAAAGTTGACACTAGGAAATTAATATTACCTTCAGCTTAAAAGTACTTGAATTGTTCAGATAGCAAAAACGTTTGAGTTGGTTTGAATTCAGATTTCAGGCATCTAAGAATCTGGAGTTTTTCAGGCGCTCGAAACTTCTGTAAATTACAAATCTTAGGAGTGAATATAAAAGAATACCAAGAAATAGGCAGCTAATCTAAAGATTTGCATTCGGAATGCAGATAATAACACTAGCATTGCACTGTGTTACTTCATCTGCCAACCAATTTGTGAAACCAGTTTGAAAGAATGTCGGTATTTCTCATTAGAAAAGCTACTTCATTCGTTTGCAATTGCCGACAGGAGACTGATGAAAAGAATGTGCATATTTGTCTAAAAACATATTTAAGGGTTTGTTAACCCAACTGAAGGTTCTAAGCCAGAAAAATTAACTACAAATTCAATATATTATATAATTGAGACGCTGCTTCATTTATGGGATTGCGTGGATTATAAATACTTTGTTCATGTCAGGTTGCATAGCACCGTCTCTTCAATCACTCGATTGAACCAAAACCGAGATCCACTTTAAACTACAGATTATATATTTTTCTATGCTGGATTTTGTGCATAGTGTATAAAAATGTTCGTGACTTATATTATGCGAAGTTATTCTTGTTCAAAGTATTGTTAATGCCATCATTTAACGACCGATCACTCCCGCAATAGGAGACAAATACATTCGATTAAATAAACTGATCTTAAGATAGGACATATCTTGAGCATAGCCTCAAAACGAAAGTAGTTCAGAGAAATTCTTCGTAATTGACTGGAAGTTTAAACGAGGAAAATTAAAATATTTACTTTTTTTGTTTTTCCTTTTTCAGTCCATCGTATTGCCATACTCTCATATACAGACGAAGAACGGCATATGAACTAAAATTGAAAGAGAATGGAATCAATAACTACCAGCTCTTTAAGGTTGAACTTTATAAATTTAAATTCAGTCAAGTATTTTACAGGATTACAGATTCATGTACTTCCGGAACTGATTGAACTTTCTTGCATGTGTCTGATTATGGAAGCCTCGAGGCTATCTGCCTAAGGGGAGGAATGCCTTCGTGGAGGACTTTCTAAGGGAAGCTGGCTCGTATACACGTTACACATGGAGAAAACCGACGAAAACGCCCATGCTGTCAGCTCGTTCGTGGGATTCGAGCCTCGGACCGAACTACCAGTGTTGAGAGACTTTACCGTTCGGCCGCTGGTGGGCCTTTCTTGCATTTGAAGAAAGACGATTCAGGCTGCTATGATGTACCGATCTGATTTTAAGCTTCTTTGAATATATATACGTGTGAAACACAAGCCAACGCTTTTTTTAATATCGATATTAATAAAAAATAGTATTAAATATTTACTTCACAGAAAAGGAATCTGAGCATTGTCGAAAAAGGAAAAAATTAGCGAAGTGTGCTAACTTTGAAATTTCGATCATCGTAAATTATGCGATCTCTCACATTTATTGAAACGAAATAACACCTGTGAAAAATGTAGGAAAATAAAAATATCGCCTTCAAATTCTAAAACCTGAAATAAACTAGAAGTAATCAGGCATACGGTGACCATGAACGAAAAGGCCTGAAAACGAAACGAGACTAAAGTCCGAAATTATCGACAGTTTATAATTAAAATGTACTGTAAATATTTTGGCCTTAATGAAATACAGTTTTCAAACAAAACACTGCTAAATATAAAAACCGCTTATTATAAGTCTGTTTATATATAAAATCCTTAGGCAGCCTTTATTTTCGCAAACTTAAAATCGCAATTAATTGTTTTAAATTGAAACATTAAAAGCTTTAACATCTCTGAATTCTTAAATTTGTAAAACGTTTCATGCAAGTCACGAAATTTTTAACAGTCACATGATACGGATAAAAGTACTTGAAGTTACTAAAAATAGACTCACGCAAGATAATTTTCAAAATTTGGGATTTGTACCGTATTTCGCTTTTACTTAAAGGGTCTGCTAAACAGGAATTCCATCTCTTTCTTTAATGTTGTTCAATGATATTACTTCGATTTACTAGTGTGCAATGGACCAATGTTTAATTTTTGCCCACATAAAGCCTTATGGTTCATAATGGTCACCTGCAGTTTCATTACTTTAGGAACATAATTTAATATTGAAAGAATACATTGGACTAAATATTTCAGTTTATGAAAAAATTATAAGTTAGTTATGGGCCAGTTTTGAAAGCAGACACCTTTCATTTAACTGTTATTTTGGCAAAGTCAAGTGTTCAAAGAAAAGTTCGTAAATTCACAGTATTCCTATTAGCGAGTGAATTGAGTGGTCTTAATCCATATATACGACAGAACTTTATTATGCCGCTAGTAGCTATTGTATTTAGATTCATATACATAAACACTATTTACAGCCTTTTATATATACAGAATGTTGAAACTTGCAATTTCTTCATGGGACGTTAACCAACTAATGGAAAAGTTTCTTTCTCCGAAAGTGAAATTCAATTTAATAGTTAAAAGGCAAAATTTGTAGAAATTTAACTGCATGTACTTAAGTCATTTAAATGAAAATTTTAATGATGAAGCTTCACTTTCATAATTTCAGTAAAATTGAGAAATAATCTTGATAATTCCTTTTTAGGATTGAGGTCGCATGTTGCAGGCTCACGAACTGGAAATGAATGCAAGTAAGCTCAAGCTAGGCCCACTACACACCCCAATTTTAAGCTTAATATTATGAAATCTTATAAATTAGCAAACAGATTAACACATCTGATTGCAACGGATGAACTTATGCGAGAAGAATGATAATACAAGAATAGTATTTAATATAGTTACATACATTCAATATGTGTATCTCAAAATCGAGCGGTTAAATTAAGAGCATTATTCGCATTCCATACTGAAAATACAAAATATGGTAGCAAAGCGGAATAAACCAATAGTCTGCAATTATCTGCAAATTTACGTTCTCATGCACACCATTCTACTCTGGTGCACGTTGTTCTGAAACAAAGACAAATATATTGAACTATTAGGTCGACTATGGCAAAGTACACGAAGCTTAAAATAACACACTACTTAAAAATATAGGTTTCCAGGGCATTATTATGTATTTCTACGTTCTTTTCTGTAAATGGAATCTTAAGAATCATACAAGATTTAATCTATTCCATTTGGAAAAGTGGATTTATGTTTGCTACACTACATAAAAGGCCAGAACAGCTGTTTTTGATGCTAGGCATCCAAAAACTCTTCCCATTCTAGCATGAAAGAGTTTCGCTAGGGTGAATACACTCTAGCATGAAAGTGTTAATCAAGTTTTAGTAAAACACTCTTCCCACTCTAGCATGAAAATAAAATTTATCTCCCAGATGATCGAATTATCAAAGGAAAACTATTTGAAGTATTAGTTGTGAATAACATCCTAAATGAGCCTGTGTACAAATCCAACAGGTACACTAAGGTAAGGAAGGTTCAAATTTAGTTACTGAACTTTAAGGTCGCTTCGCTTTCAAATTAGTAATTAAGTTACAATTAAGCTCTGTAATAGAACTCCAAGATTATTCATTTGAAATAATGTTAAGCTGTAGTACCTTGTCAACTTATGGTTTTCTGACACACCTTGCTCTTTCTATATGTTTTTAATTAATATGGTGGTCGTTACTTGAGCTGAATCGTTACTTCCACTTAACGACATTTTTTCAATATTCCTGGTAAATATAATACACAGTTTGCATATACAGACTACGGAGACTTCGTGGCTCATTATTTTGATTCAATTAAAGTAACAGTATTCCTAATTGAGCACTAGACTTTAAATTTAAACCGTTTACACTACCACAAAAATTACTTTATTGAAGGCGTCTTTCAGTTTACGTCTTTGAAAAACATTTACATTCAGGAAGATATGTTATTTACGCCTCATTTGCTTTCTTAAGTATCCATTTGCAAACATTTCCTCCCTTGCTTATGATTAAAGTAACTTATAAGAATTTTTCCTAGCAGTCCCTTGAGTACACGCTTCCTAAATCCTTTCTTACCGTTTCTACAAATGAACACCATAAAAACTTTTTCAAAGTCTTCCGATTAATACCGACTGTCCACCAATGGTCACCTTCATGTAGAGAAAACTGACCAGGACAACTTTTATTCTCGAATGGTACTTCCTCCAAAATATGCTAATATATTTCAAGTTTAGGTTAAAAGTTCTAAATTCTAAGCATTCCGAGTTTCACTTTTTCCAATAAGGATTCGTCTTTTAATGATTAACAATTAAATCTAAACTGGTTTCGTTGTAGATCTTTCCTAGCCATGATTTATGAATATAAACGTATTCTTAAAAATGAAACAAATTTACAGTAATTTTTGCCATCATTCCATCTAAAGTATCCAGCATTCAGGTTCAGATTTTGCCTTATATTAGAGTGAAATAACTAATGACTTAAAAATTTACAACTGCCCATCTTTATCAGCGGAAAAGCAGACGAAGTGTAAATCAGGATGTTAAACCTCCATCATGTACTACGTAAAATTCATAACGAATAGCTGCTACAAAACCGAAAATAAACGTCGACATTTTCGCAATTAAGCGGGACGATTCGATGAAATTTTAATGTCATAATGTACACCTTATATGAATTGTTGCAGTTATAAGTATTTGAAATTCAGTAGAAATTAATCATAATCTTCAAAGATCAATTATGAAATGCTTTTTTAACTCGGCTTTTAAATGCCGTAGCAAACAATAGGTTTATTTAACGTCTAGATAAGCTTCCTTCGTATTTAAAATTAAATTAAACAGCTAATGCCTAAAAAGAAGTTTACCTAGCCAACTAATCTTAGTACGAAATTCTGCCAATAAGTTGATATTTGAATGCAGTTAAAATATTGAGAAAAAGCATTTAGACTTATGGTCTCCAACAGGTCACATTTGATTAGAAATAATATTTAACGAACTAGAAGATAAACTTACGTTTCCTTCGAACAACAAGGCAGGTACTGGAAACCTACGTCTGCGCCTCACTTTACGAGTATCCTGTATCATTCTCTGGAACATTAGAGGTTCAAACCTACAAATTAAATGGTTTGAAAAGTAAGTATGCAACTACGCAATTTTAGAATGCAATTGTCGAATAGTTAAGCGAAGATTAATTTTAAACGGGAGAGCTTTAGAATGCTAAATTTGAACCAAATTACCGGTACATTGTCGTTATGAACGCGACGTGCTTATACACCGCCAACAATTTATTAACGCTTCAGTGGTAAAATATTTTCGATAACAGCAGATCAGTTGACCAAAATTAGATTTCCGGCAGCAATTGTTTAGCAATCGCAGCTATACTATCAGAATATTAATCTTTCGTATGAAATTATTTTGTCGGCCATAATACCACATCCTGACCAAATATGTACAGCTGTTCTGTCTTGGTAAGAGAGCCTATTTTCGTAGAGATATGTTGGAAAAAATACTTCAAGTTTCGCATTATAATGCACTTTTAGACAAATTGACGATATAAGCTTTTAGATTTTTCGCTTAAATGAAATAATTATTACAGGGACAGTCGCCAGTTAAGTATTATACTAGCGAGACTAGTTCTCGCGAAAGAAACAAGAAGTCAAGTGACTTCCCTCGAATCAATTCCGAGTTAATTCCTAGTTCTTATTCCAAGAGAAATTAAGCAATTTGTCGACATTACATTTTGAATCATCTTATGCAATGAAACATTGTACGAAGTACCTTTCACGGGAAATGGTTACCCTCGCCCCCCAAAAAATATACAAAATCTGAAATTTTTCAAATTTTACATACATATACAAGTTTCGAGAGAATTTGGGTAATGTTCCTTAGACTAAAAATATTTAAAAACGGCCTATCTTTAGAATTTCTGATACACAGCCTCGCGCCCTGGTATAAAAATGCCTTTTAGTACAGCTTTGCCATTATTTCCCATTTGCTTTGAAATCGTAGAGTTCGTTAATCAAAAATGCATTAAGGTTTTACAAAATAGGAAATAGAAAATTTAAAAAATTCGGTTTTTTGCTTAAATGAATGTTTCCAGGTTTCCATCTTCGTGTGCAGGATTAAGTTATTAAAAATTTGATGTCTCTGGATACCGTCGTTTTTTTACATTACCAAAAACATGTAAACATTCACGCAAATTCTTAATTATTTAATTTCTTTAAATACAATACAGGGCGATATATTTGGTCGCAACAATTTTAAAAGTGATTCGCCTTTTATAGTGAAACGCCAGAAAGTGCCATTTTGAGAATTAATAGCCTCTTTTGGCGTAAAAATTGATGCAATGCATATATGCGCTTTAACCAATTGGACAAAAACTGACCCTGAAAAAAATTTCATTCCACCCCTGCTTCATTGAATAGGGCATTAATAGAAATAATCTTACTACGAGAATTCAGAGTAACTTAGGAGTTGCATCAATGCTCTTAGGAAAACATTAGTAGCATTATTGGGAATGCATCGGTGACTACCGGCTAATAAATGCCGCATCATTAATATTAAAGCTTAAATTTAAAAAGCGAGTCAAAAACTTCAAATTGTAGTCTTACCACCTTGAAGATTTTAACAATCAAGGTTTCAGAAATTTAAAAAGGTATTAAAATTAATATAAAATAATGTGAAAAGGAAACAAGAATTTGTAGGTAAATTTCTACTTAAGGTTCTGAAACAAGAGGTAATCAGTTGTAGTTTGCTTATTCATTTAACAATGAAACTTTTAGAAATTTAAAGGCAATTAATTTAAGGCAATGGAAATTAAAAATTTTACATCCAAGTCAGCTGTTTAAAACGGCAAAAATAAAAATAAAAAAAATGGGTGCTACTTTTTTCATGTAAATACCACGTGGAGACTTTGTTGTTTAATAAGTGAATTAGTGAGTTAAATTGCCTTAATTATTGAAGGCGTAACTGAATTTATTTCACTGGAATACTTGCTCCAGAGATTTGCAACAATTGCCTGGTTTTATTTGATTATGGCAAAGCGCTCGAAGGCCATCTGGCTGAGGGATGCCTTCGTGGTATGAATTTCTAAGAAAACTGGCTCGCAAATATATATATTACACATGGGGAAAACCACAAAGATGCCTATGCAGTAAGCTCGCTCGTAACATTGGAACTTCGTAGCAAACTACCAATGTTCAGTGACTTTGCGGTTCGACCCGCTGGGGCCAGACTTCTTAAAGGAAACAATTTTCTATTATTCCCTTAATGTATGGTAATATGTAAAAGAACCCATTTGATTAAATGATTTATTTTTGTGTTCATTTGGCTACATTTAAAAACATTTTCTACCAGAAAAATCAGAATATTCCAGATAGAAAAAACCTAGAATTAAAGCTTCCATAGAATGTGAAGTGTTATTTTGATCTTTCATATCAATTTTATTAATTTCAAAACCTATTATATAATTTTCAAATAGCTTTCAAATCACGACTTTACATTTTAAAATCAATAGAGCACAACATGAATAGCTGTTAAACAGAATTGTTTAAACGAACGACAGTTGCTCGAAACTTATTTGAAAACTTAAACTTAAATTCATTTTTAATCTGAATTTTCGTGCAATTAAGATTCAATTTTATTTTAAATTCCGATTTTATGTCTATTCGTCACTACAACTCTTGCAGAGTTTCTATAAATTGAAATCAGGATGTGCAATTTTTATTTAGTGTAATACGTTTAGTTTGGCGAGTGGAAAGTATTTCACGATATAACTATGGCTAATCACTGAACATTTAGAACTAATTACAAAAATTAGTATTTGTGTAAAAATCTTTCTTTCGTTCGTTAATATTCAGTGGCACGAATTTAAGAAATGCAGTTTTTAATCATGTTTATTCATTGTTTAAAGACATAAAAAAATTAATTTTGGACTCGCTATGATGAAAGCCACTTAGAGACGTATTGTAGAAAATGAAAAATAAGACTTTCAAATGGCTTGGCTAATTACATATCCGATGGTTTGAAAATAATATTTCGTTGAAAATAAGGTGCACTACGTACATGCAACTATAAGTATTCTTCAATTAAGTAACTATAATCATTCTTTAAATTAGAAAGTATCAGTTAAGAAATTTACCGAAGTCTATGAATTTAATTCATGAATTACGAGTTATGATTCAGATATGTAGTTATTAAAACCAAGATTTCAACGACTTGAAACACTTATGAAAAAATGCAATTAAGCATTTAATTTCTATTAAAATTTTTATCAAGATGCGAGATAAAATTTATGAAATGAATACGGAATACTAACTTGCGAGATTCTTCAGAACTGGCGGTTTTGTCTTTTACTGGAATAATGATTCTCGATGGGTAGTTTGGTGTAAACATTCCATCATTTACTACAAGCTGTAAAGATTTTGATATTATAGTTCCATTAATTAATATTCCATATCAGAAAGTATCAAACTTACGAGTAAATTTTAGCAAAAACATACATCTGAATAATAAATAGTTAAACACATGATCGAAAAGACAAACTAACCTCACATTCATAGTCCTTTTCAAAAAGTTTTAAAGAGTTTCTATATATATCTTCATCCTCCTGCAAAAGAAATTTTAACGAAATTTAGGTACTATACATGAAATTATGTGGATTATGAAATTAATGAATATGTGATTATAAAAATGTGAATGGTACTTCCTGGTTATTCGGTATCCCGATACACCATGAAAAAGAGTTTTCGCCAACATTTGGCGGTAAAATCGTTTTTGATTTCGACCGATACTGTTAAAGAAAATCTGATTTTTATTCTCTGCCTCCATATAAATTCTGATAATTAAGAAGGCTAGTGATTATGACCTGCATAAAAAAAGTCTAAATGTTTAGCTGCAGCTATTTAAAAAAGAATACTTTTAGCATTTGCAGTTCTTAAACAATTTCGAATATAAATTTAGTTTCTCTTCAACTACCACAGATCTATTTCGAGAATTATACTAATAAAGATTAAGAAACATTTTAGCCATTTCTTATTTTAAAACATCTAAACTAGTACATGAAAAAAACTCACGATTACTAGACATTTTACCTTGATTTGAATACATTAAATATACTTTGGACAACTAATGTTAGCGAAATTTCAATGAGGAATATCAGCAAATTAAAGAAAACATTTAAAATTTCATTTTACAGAAAGCGAACGTCAGAGATTTAGATTTAGAGATAATTTTGATTTTAAGTGAAATTGTCATTCAGGCTGCAAATGTAAAAACACATTAATTTAGTAGACCTTGAGCTACAAAAAGAATGTTGTATCATATTAAACAAATATGTAATACCTTTCGATAAACACCTGCTTCGTATAAATGACACCGAGCTCGGTCGACTAAATCCTTTAGGTCCTTTTCTGTAACCAACACGTCGACTTCTTTTGCCATAATGTGAAGTATTAAGGGAACTACAAATATACTAAAACAATACCCGCTGTTCTTCAACTCAAACTGGAGGAAATTTTGTTGGAAGTACTTATAAGTTCTTTTTTGAGATCTAATATACAACCACGAACTACCAATGACAACAATTATGCAAATTTTACTCTTCCCTTTTCTCAAAGAGATAATGTAATTTAATTTAAAATATTTATAACTAAAATCATATTGCATCATAAATCACAATAATCAATCAATTCACTAACATATATTTTAATTTATGAATTTTAACTTACTTGTACGAAAGTTACTGATATTTATTTTTTCCAACTTGTTATTGAATGTAATCTTAATTTTTTTCATGGTGAAATGGTTTTATTAAACACAGTGTTAAGTCTGAAGTTATTCTTCAATCATTCTATTTCAGTTTTCATCACTAAATGATTCATTATTTCAATTTACATGAATGTTCTCAAAAGTCGGCTAAAGAAATCGACGTGTTGGTTACAAAACAGGAACTAAAGGATTTAGTCGACCGAGCTGGGTGTAATTTTTACACAGCAGCCGTTATTTGAAAGGTATTGCATATTTAATATGATACAACACTCTCTTTCTATCTCAAGGTCTGTTAAATTAGTATGTTTTTACCTTTACACCCTGAATGAGAATTTCGTTTAAAATCAGTGTTACATCTTAACCTGAATCTGCGACTTTCGCTTTCTGTAAAAGGAAATTTTAAGTGTTTCCTTTAAGTTACTGATATTCTTCATTGAAGTTTTGCTAATTTTAGATGTCCAAAGGTATATCAAATAAAAAATCAAGTATATCAAGCATATCAAGTTTGAATCTGTGTAAAATGGCTAATAATCTTTCGATTTTTCATTATTATTTTAGAGGTTTATAATGTATTTTCCTCCTTCCTTTCTATGCCTTCGTGGTGTAATTGGAAGTATACTCGATAGGTATTCGAGAGGTCCAGGGTTCGAGTCCCGGCGAGGGCACTGCACATTTTCACACTTCTGCCAAAAAATAACCTAATGACTCTAGAAGTGTTGCCCGTACAAAAAGGTGGTGGACGATAAATTGTCACCATCAAGACTTGTGAATCGTGTTCCCCAATTATCAATCCCTCTTTAAAAGGGGCAATATATAAGGCATTTTCTCCTTGTTTTTCGCATGCTTTCGTTGAGTAATTGTAAGCATACTCGACGCGTATATTAGAGGTTCAAGGTTCGATTCCCGGCTAGGGCCCTGCGCTTATTTTTACCCTCCTGCTTCAAAAAAACTTAATGAGTGAACATGTTTATTTCCTCTAATTCTCGTGTACGTGCCAAGTAAACCCTCTGCGAAATTCCATAAAAATAAATGTACAGCTTACAGGGAACATTAGTCGATAAATCAAAATGAAGCGAGGTACAACGATCAATTAAAATTTAACGCAGATCACCATCAAGATTTTTTTTACATTATCCTTACAGTTTGACATTAAAGTGGAAACTTAAAAGTTTAAAGCTTTACTTTTTTTTCTTTTTACAGCTATTATAGTTCCTAAGCTACGTAAGGGAAGACTTGCCATAAACGAAAAAATTAAATTAACCAAACCTACATAACGTAATCCGAATTTTTATAAAAGTAACTGAAAAGAATACAAATTTTTTCAAAAAAACCTGAACAAAGTTAGTCTTTATTTTGAAAGTTAGCCCGTTTTGGCTTTCACTTTGCCGCACTGAAAGTTTTGAGCAATCAAGATTCAGTTGTACAAACGTAGGATAAATATTCACTTTTAATTTCCAATCGCTCCCAAAGATTTTTCTTAATTTGGTTATTTCTCTTTTGTATCTTCAAAATAAATGCGTATTTTTGAAGGACGTCATTTCAAAATTGATTTTTGTTGAACGTTCTTATATACCCTATTTTTTACGTATTTCTCCCCCCCTTTTTTTTACTAATTTTTTAGTCCGCAAATCGAGAGAGAAAAATTAATTTAATTTTCGAAGGATGCGGTCACAGTTAGAATATAAGAAATCTAAACTAGTCAGGGATAAACTACAGGTAACCATTATAATATTATTTATCTAAAGGAAACCTACATTTTAATAAGAATATATAGTAATATTGGTGTCATAAGATATCTTCATTTGCATTTCCTTGTAACTTAAATCGTGTACATTTTTACTGTTGTCTGCACTACTCCTAAAGCCTCAAATAATTTGTGAATAATTAGAGCAGCTACTGCGCAGCTGACTCAGCGAAATCATAGAATGAATGTCAGTTCATGTGTACTACGCTGTGATTGGTCGGTTCTTGTATTAGGCTGGCATAAAGGAAAGGTTACAAAGGACAAAGGTTACAAAGGAACTGTTACAAAGGAAAGGTTAGACGTGACCTTCGCAGCTAGTTTGAGAGGGTTTGTCTTTGTTAGTAAGACGAAAACAATCATTATGTTAATCAAATCGTTTCCAATACCAATAAGGAATTATTGCTTGTTTATCGCGAGGAGCGCGACGTTACCAGCTCTGCTGAAATAATGCCTTGAGAGCGGCAATTCAGATTGTTATCTACGTGAAGGGTATTGTGTATGTGGGACGGTGATTTGAGTCCGGGAGAAGAATGGGGTGTCGATGTTACACCATGAGGTGAGGAGCAGCGCGGCTACACCTTTCGTCGCTCAGGAGAAACTGAAGCTCTGGCAAAGAACGTCTAACAAACGCTAAGACAGTTGAAAATGATTACAAATAAATGATAGAATGAACAACTATGTACATTATATATAAATACGTATGTTATTTATAGATACTTACGAAATCGTTTCAAAATTTAGGAGAGCTCTTATTTGAATGAACTGAATAAGGAAAAATTTTCGGGAATATTTTTTAAATGTTCGAAACCTGATGCTGAAATTCTGGGGGGGGGGAGGATATACGAGGGAATGTGGTAATATTAAATACCCAAGTATTTACAGAAGTGATAATAAAATCTTTTATCTATTTATAAATTGAATCTTTAATTGAATCGATAGCACTAACCAACTGGGATAATTTATTATGTCTTTCTGCTGAGAGATACAGTATATGTAATTTCACAATTCTTGATCATAATATAAATCTTTTATCTTCTCATGTTACCTGTGAAGAACTAATTCTGTCTCTGCCGATTCTCTTCGTCACTTATTCTGATGCCATAAAAATGGGACCACAGTATATTTATATTTATATAATACCCAGAGAGTATTTTTCGCCAGTTTATTTAGGTATATATTCAAGAAAGTTATGGACAAGAACAAAGAATTACAATGGACGCTTGTTGATTTATACTCAAAGGTTCTCAGAAAAGAGTTCGAATTATCCGTTGTTAAGTGGAAGTATAACTTTAAAAGTGGATCACTGAAGAAGATAATTATCCAAGAATTATAACCCTAGAAAATATATTATACTATGCTGTCTAAAATTAAATAAATTAAAAAGCAACAAATGATTACATTAACCACAAAAGGAAGCAGAATATATGCAGCAGAAATAAACTTATTAATGTATTAATTAAAAATGTGAATCAGTCTTTTGAGAAAAACTGTAAAATGGATGTTTGGCTTTATTTATTATGCCTACATTTTTCAACCAGCTTCTCGATCTGAAGTAAACATTTCAGTTTATTTTCAGATTAAGGTTAGATCTGAATAAATGCTTTCAGAGTTTTTACAGAGTCTATTAAGGCTTGATCACTAGTTTTGAACCGATAAGGTCTCTTCTTTTTCATCTTCTCGGATAGTTATTATTATATCATTGTCGCTCAGATTTCCAAAGACTTCCAAGTATTCAACTCTTACATAATTCAGAAAAGTGACGTTATCAGATTTAAAGTTTTTGAATTCAGGAAAAGCTGTATCAGTGTCGTCACATTCTTCGATAGGAGTGTTCTCTTCGACGGGTATAAATTTAAAATGACGAAAGTAATTACTAATTGTGCTTTCTTTAACAGCATCCCATGCGGCGTATTGATCATTTATAGTTGTCCGCAGAGTAATGTTGTAGTTTCACCATAAATTAAAAAAGGATTTTTTTGTAGGTGTCTTTTACTATAATTTGCTTTAAAATCCTGGATGATTCCTTGATCCATTGGTTCCGTTTGGCGGTAAATATTCAACCTGTATGGAACT